ATTGAGGCGGAGAGAACGGGGCTTTTGTTCATTAGAATAGCGGTGGACGCTGAAGGGTAGACGAGAGAAAGAAACGGGTAGTGGTCGCGAGGGCAACCAACAATAGCGGGGACGATCGAGGAAGAACAGGGAGCGCTCGGGGAAGGCCTTGGCGCAGCAAACACGCGGCGGGGACCGCCATTGTCTCACGCGCCCCGAGACACATTCCTTCGACGGCTGTAGGCGGGCAACCATGTCGTTTCACTGTGCTGCCGGCACCCATGAGGTTGACTGGTCAACCAGGGGCGAATTTGGGGGAGACCGCCTGCGGTGGCTGGCCCGGCCATGCCCGTGCCCCCAATTGCAGAAGCACGACGACCCTGGGGAGGACTAAACTTGGGGTGGAGGGGGGCTTAGAAGCTAACCTGCTAATTTGCTCGCGGTAGGGTTTGTTCTGCAGCTTTGTTGTTTGGCGAAGGTGACGAGTATCGACATCGGCTTTATGGGGAAGCCGTGACGGCAACGGTCACGGAAGCGTACGCCAAACAAACGGGCCCAACATTGTGTCGCCACTAGCCACAGGCGAGTGGGGCCAGCGAGTGACCCCAGAGCTTAGGCTAACTGCTGTGAATACAATGGCCCCTGGCAGGGTCGATGCTCGGTGCTACCATTGGTCAAAGGCGCGACCGCCGATCACGATTGAGCAGCAGTTTCGGGAGTTTGGGTTGGGGGAGTGGAAGTCAGCTCCGCGTGGGTAATAGCATTAGTTACGTCGACACGTTCAGCTGGCGGTAACGTTGCCAAAAACCCAGTAAACTCCTGAGTCACTGAGGCCACTTTCAGTCTAAGAACTTGAGCTACCGGCAGTTGCGGTTCCAATTGAGCGTAAGTCAGCTTAATACTAAGATATACTCCAATGAGCTGAGGTGTAGGCGGGTGGGGGTCAGCCAAGAGTTTATCGAACGTTGCCACCAAATCGTTAATGATTAAACCCATTTTGGCTGAGGTCTTGATGGCGATGAGACGGCGTCTATGGGCGACGACGGCCCTCGCCGTCTGCGCCAGCTGGGCAATCAGCTGCTGGTTCTGCTTTACTGTAGTAGCATAGTGGGTCAATTCGTGGCGGATGGCGGCGAGATCGGGCCCGTCCTCGGCGTCGGCGGTGTCCAAATTGATCGACTTCCCTAACAGGACGAACTCGTCGAAGGAGTCGTTGACGAGCTGGCGGAGCTGGTGGTTGAGCGAGTCGAGCTCGTGGCGGAGGTCGCGGGTGAGCACGTCGAGCTGGACGTAGCGGTGGTCGCGGCAGAGCTCATGGTCGACGCTCATGGTGGACATGTTGGTGCGCGCGTGTGAAGAGTGTGATGGATGTTTTGAAGGTGATACTGCCATCACCTGATCCAGCTAGATGAAACTAATAACAAGTAGCAGTAAGAACATATCAATAACAGCTTTTAATTTATGAGTTGATGAGGATTTTAATTCAATATGCTATACAATGGTGACACGTATCACTGGGATACAATTGAAGCTGAAGTTACCGAGGAATACCAGGTATAAGAGTATTGAATCATTCATAGAGAGATCTGATGATGAATGATGAGACACGATTTGATGGAATCTATCGATTATTTGATTTGTTGCTTGGTGCTGTTTCTCAGTAGCGCTGTTACTGTTGTTGGTGGTAATGACCACGTGACGGGTTATCATTTTCGGTGAGACACTTCGGTGCGACATAACAATAGGGCGTTGGCCACCGACTCGTCACCACCGCCAGACGCCGGCGCGCAATTGAGCCCCCGATATTGCGAGCGATCCCTCCAGCACTATTTTTCCGTAGCGGTCGGGTCCGTCGTCGGACGCCTTAGCGCCGTAACCTTGACTGAGGTCCGACCCCTGGTGCCCCCCAGTGACGTCACAAGTACTTGCCGCCCACAGACAAAATAGCCATGAAGTCACTAGCCCTACGGTGTCGCAGGCCCCGTGTGTCTCACCGCTCGCCGGGACACACTAATGGGTTGGGTCACGTGGGGTTATGGCGAACGGCGCCCCCAATCAAAATTAGCCACCGAGCATCGACACCGACGACGTCGATGGGGTTCGCTATTGTTTGCGCCCATTAGCGACTAAACCTTAATCGCCGGCGGCGTCCGCTATTGTCGGCGGTGGCTACTGGTGCCATAAACTTAATCGTGTTTTTACTAAAGGCGACAACTGCACGGTGGGGATGTCTGCCATTGTGTCGCTGGCCCTGAAAGCCGTACCTGAAGCCTGTGCTGTGAAGGACGCCGGCGTCGGAGACGTGTCCGCGACACCCCGGCTAGACGACGGACGCCGCCCCACGTAGGGGGTGCCGGCGCCACTGCCGGACTCGTCGCTATCGTCAACAAGGCATCGGGCAACAATGGCCATTATCCCCAGGTGCAGATATTCCCGTTCAGGTACTGGGGGCCCCGGGTGTCGTTCACAGCAGCCACGCCGGGCAGGGCGTAAGAGGGGCGGCTGAAATTCCAGCGCTTGTCTGTTCGCCCCGGGAAGAGGTGGCAGGATGCTGCGCCACTTTCCTTCGGCAACGGAGCCCTGGGACACGAACCAGAAGGATGAAATCTTCTTAATCAGTGGGTAGTCAGTGGAGATTTGCTTAGTAATAAGTGGGGGAACCAGTGGGGGAGAGCTCATAAACTAGTGCTATGACTGGTACTGGCGTTGGCACCGGTTTAGCCGCTTACAGGGCTGTTGCTTACAGTGCGGTGAAAAGCCGACTAAATCCCTTGATGTCTGTCCATTGCTGGGGAGGGGGCACAGGGCGCGCGTGGGGGCGCGCGTGGGGGGATTATTGAATTGAGCGACGTCACCTCTGTCGGCTGGGAGAAATTCACCGGGCCAGGGCTCCCACTGGGCGCCACAGTTCCTTAGGGTAGGTAGAGCCGGGCTTATGCTTCAGTGGTTCGCTGTTTATATGCAGGAGCAATCAAACCAACACCGGGGGGAGCAGGGTCACATTACTTAAGCGCGGTTACGCTTTATCAGGAAATATTACCATTGGACCAGCAGAAATGTTTCAGGTTTAATGCTGGTAGCGCTGCCAGCGCTACCACAAACCAATCCGTTTAAGAGGATTAGTTTGGCAAACGTAATTGTCACCGGTGGTCGACCAAACCCATCGATTTGAGGCGGCGTCGGGCGAAGGGTGAATATCGGAAACCTTCCCTGTTTCGAGCGAGTAGTCGTGCGGCTACCGGTTTGCAAAAATAAAAAAAAGCACTGATTGGGAGATTATCCAGAGGGAACAGAGACAAGGAGATAGGAAGTGCGGTCAAAAGCAGAGATTAGTAAGGCTATCAGGCCCGATTCACCGGTGGTGGCGCCCAGGGTGCGCCCCCAGGAGTGGCGCCGCGAGCGCCGGGGGCGCCGGTGGGGGCGACGCTGGGGTTAGCACTGGGAAGGGAGTTAAGCAGCGCTTTTACAGCGCCCATCTCCTCTAGCGCTCAGCGGCCTCCCCAGCGCGCTTGTCGCTCCGTAAGCGCTGAGTTCGGTAGCAGCGGCGATGACGTATACCGTCGGCGCCCCGGCGTCGTCAACGTGGTATGGGTTTTTTTTACTTACTGAGGGAAGGCTGCCTTGGGTACATTACTCCGGGGTTCGCGGGCGCCGGTAAAAAATTGCAAGTTAGTCTCAGCTAGAGCAGCGCGCAAAAATATTTGTCCACTGAACATAAATTTATTTTTTTGATACTCACCGCATCGGGTGTAAATGCAGATACGCCTTTACATAATAAAGAAATGTCAAATCCATAGGGGCTCCAAATCCCTCACCTGTGTGGTCGAGTACAAATAATCTTTACCCTGTACGATGTTATTTATAACAGGGCGGTTTCTCCATCCATCACCACGCTGTCTACTTTCCCCAAGGTTTCAGGTTTGCCGGTTCCTCAAACTACTGTTTCAGGTTAGCATTGCTTAACCGCTCGTCATCCCCCCTCCCCCCTTGAACCCTGTCTCGTGGTCGCCAATGTCGACGGCAATTTACCCTTTAGACGACAACCAAAAGCTTCCCCTGCTCAGCCTGATTATGCCGGGACAGTCCTCGGGCGGCGGCGCTACGCTGCTGCTGGGGTACTCCCCTCAGCCGGTGCTGGCGCAGCCGGCGCTCTGGCCCGGCGCTGTGAGCGCCGCCGGCAGCGCTCTTCCGATGTCGGCAGCACTGTCGACGACGCCGCTGCAGCAGTACCAGCCGCAACCAACGCCGCCCCAGCCCCACCACGTGCCTTATCAACAACAGCAACAACAACAACCCCTGTCACAAGCCATCAAACTGGAACAGCTGGCGCAGTTCCCGCTGCTGAACCCGGTGATGTCGCAGCAGGTGCCGCCGCCGCAGTTTCAACTGGTGTCGCAACAACCCCAGTATCAGCAGGTGTCGCAACCGCTGGTGTCGCAACAGCCGCTGGCGTACGCCGCTGACTACTACTACGGCTACAACGCGCCGCCGCCGCCGCCCCCCGCCCAGTACCAGGCGCCGGCGCCCCTCGCCGTGGCCATCGCCGCCCACCCGGCGCCGCCGCCGTACCCAGAGAAGTGCACTTGCAAACTGAACGCCAACCGCATCCCCCGCCCCCGCAACGCCTTCATCCTCTTCCGCCAGAAGTACCACCAGCTGGTGCTTGACGAAGGGCTGGTGATCCGTACCAACCCCGAAGTCAGCCGCGAGTTGGGGCGCCGGTGGAAGGCGCTTAGCGCCGAGGAGAAGGAGCACTGGAACCGCCTCGCCGAAGAGGAGAAGCGCAACCACGCTAAGATGTACCCTGGCTACCGCTACACGCCTAGACGCAACGGCAAGCTGAAGCACTGCGCCGTGTGCCGCCGGGGCGCTCGCCACCTGGTGCCACTGGTGCTGCTGCCGATGATGGTGGAAGGGTACGCTCTGTACTCGGCGCCGGGTGCGCCCCAGGCGCCCCAGGCGCCGCCGGCTGCACCGGTGCCGCTGGAGTACCACACCGGCTACTCGCAAAGCTACATGGGCTACGACACCCCGGTGGCGCCGGCGCCGCCGGCGGCGCCGACGAGCGCTTCTATCAGCGGTCCTCCTAGCGTGGCGCTGACGCTGAGCGCGCTGATGGCGCTGGTGGCGCAATACGACAAGTTGTCGCCGCTCCTGGGGGCGCCGGCGGCGCCGTACCTTGCCGCTGGCTCGGCATCTGACTACTACGGGGCGCCGTCGCAATACAGCCACGAGGCGCTGCCGCCGCAGGCGCCGCCGGTGCGCTTTAGCTCGTTGCCTCTGACGAACTTTTTCGGCGACTACCAAGGGTAGCTGACCTGCTGAAACACCCCCGTAATGAGCGATATGAAACACACTATGAGACTTAACAATATGAGAGACATGGGATGGAGAATCCCCCATTCAACGGAGACTACTAACACGAGAGTAACACACCACCAATATAGTATTTAATATACAGCCCAGGGCTCATACCTCTGGGCAGCGAGTTAATATCCTACTGCCCTGTTTCGATGATAGCGCTAGATCGTGGTAGGTGCCGATCAGGGCCACTCCCCCGCCTAGGGTCTGAGGCTGTCGATTGAGTGACGATGGATGTCTCGAAACAGTTACAGTTACGAGCGCACGCCACACGTGTCAGCCCACCCTTTACCCCCACCCCTCCCGCGGAGAAAAACGGTGGTTGCGGCGATGTGAGGATATAAGCAGTGCCGTCCGATCAACTAAGCATAATATCATTAAAGCGTCGCTATATACGTCTATAGAGCCCCTAAGGGAAGATCCCGGGATTTTTTTGCTGGATTTTACGGGGGTATTCAGCCTCTCGACCACCAGTGCACAGATGAAACAACGCGACTGTCGCGACATCACACAAACGCCTCAGGGGTAAAAGTGGCAATTTTGGGGAATCCCAAGGATAAAAGCTATGAATAAGGTCAGCTCACTGTCGCATACCCTCCGGCAATTCTTGCGCTACAACGGCGACCAGGGATTTACTGTCAAGGACGATGAGGGCTCATACCCAGGTAATTTTGACCAGTTAGTCCATATCGATTTTGATGGCTTCACCGGGCTTAAATGGCGGTAGCCCGAGGAAGGGGCACCCGTCACATCTAAAGGCATCGCCCAAGGCACACAGACCACAGCCTCCGGTTTTCCCCGGGACGGTGAAATCGATTTCTGCTAATTCGTCAGCAGTAAACTTCACTGCCGGACCCAGCGCCGCCGCCGCCGCTTGTCTTTGAGCGATACGAGCTTCGATCGCCTCGGCTTCTTTGGTAGCGCTGCGCGCCATCAGCGCAAGCACTCTCAGCTGAGCCAGCTGGCGCTCGACAATCTCCGCTTCCTCGATCTCTTTAAGGCCACAGGTACAGTCCTTACACGCCTTCCGCCGCTTCTTAAACGTACAACCTTGGGGTAACCGAATAACGTCATCGCCCACGGCCACGGAGTCGTCATCGCCAGCATCGTTACTCACAAGCAGCGACTCAGCGACGTAATTCAGGGCTGGTTTATTCAAAAACGCAAGCTTGGCCAGCGTCTTGGGTGCAGTATTGGTCGTTTCGGGTTTGCGTTTCAACAGCACGGGAGCTGCTGCTGTTAAGTCGGGTTTCACCCACTTTTTGCCACCAAACAGCGCCACGTCGTCGTCTTCGACGAAGCCCGCCATGATTACGTCCAACAGAGAATCCAGAGGTAAGTCGCCACGAACTTCGCCACCAGCCACTAACGAGTTAAACAACAACTGCATCAACGGGCCAGGAACGGGGGCTGACCTCAGATCGGGGTTAACATAGACGATGGTGGTGTAATCATTGTCGAGCGCCACCTCGCCTCTGGCCACGCGGTCGACGACCTGCTGATGCAGCAGCAGCAGCACCAGAGCTACCCGGTGCTTATATTCATCAACGAGTGCCGGCTGGGTCACCACCGTCGGGTGGAGAAGGAATAATGTCTTGGTCATCGCGGGGTTTGGTTGTGAGGGGAGGGGAAACTGCGATTGATAAAGTGTGAGTGTTGGTGCGCGTGAGTCAATAACGAGAACATCAGATCACGTGACCTTGAGAAAACGAGAGCCTTGGCAGTCGCTATTCTAATACGTCCACCCACTAATGGCGGTGCCATTTGTCAGCGCTCGTTTGTCAGCACACATTTACTAAAATTTTGAAAGTCGAGAGGTGCGGCGTGACTAATCGAACACTCATTGTCGCCGTTTCAGCCGTGACGATTGTTCGTTGACAGCCACAAAGCCTATGGGGTTAGTCACAGTGCCGATTTTGCCCTTGGCTCGCCGATTTTGTCCCCTGGCCCAGGAGTGCTTTGTCATCTTTGTGTGGCCACTGACGTAAGCGGGCCACGTTGTTAGTTCGCAGTGACTAGTCGCACCCGCAAAGGCAGCAGTGAAGTATTAAGAAAAAAAAAAAGGTAGCCCCCACCCGAGTCATAAATCCGGAAAGTACGCCTCGTCCCCACTCCATCCAATAAGGTTTCCGAGATCGTCGTACCCCCAGCCCGATGGTCCTCTAAAAAGTAACCCTGCAAAAGAAAAATGGTTTAAAATTTACATGAAAATAGGGACAAGCAAAACTTCCCGAAACTACCCATGATTACGGCTGCCGATACCGGCTACCAAAAACTACTTCCGACAACGGCTAGAAATATTTACTATCGGTGGCGTTAGCTCTGAAGGTATCTCTACTGCCTCAACACCTTGCGCGGTGACTCGGTACCGGTATCCGCTGAGATAAGCGTGCTCCCGAGGGGTTACTAGTTCCGTAATGCTTCGCAAGCGTCTCCGCCGCGCCGGACGCAACCAGCCCAGCGTCAACGCAGCGCCTAGCATCCGTCGTGCACGGTGTCCCTGCGGTGACGGCAGCGGTCAGTGCCCCTTGTCTCACCCACTCACTTTCACTTATAGTAAGCTACCGGCAGTGGTTCTCCGGGATCACACCCTTCACTCGCTCGAAAGATTAGGCCCACAAATACGGGGATATCACCGGACTGCACGGTAACCAGGCCCCTAAAACCACTCGCAGTAGACCTCGGACCCCCCTGCCTGATTCAGAGGAGATATATCCTCTCCATCAATTCCAGCGAGTCATTTAGGGGGACGTGACCTCCGTCATTACGTATTCCCCTCAGCGGGAGATAGCGCTCACGGCAGCGGTTCTGGCAGCGGTTCTGGCAGCGGCAACCGCACTGTGGTCGCAGCCGATGCCGGCGAACCAATTTACCCTCCCCCAACTGGTTCCCTAATGGGGCAGTTTACCCCGTGGTACGTCGCTCGAACAAACAAAGGCAACACGGATACGAAGACCGCACCCACCTCACTGGCCTTCCCAAAGAGACGCACGATTACTGTGGTCGGAGTTACAGGTTAGTTCTCTGGGTCTTCCCTACACGAGGCAGTGGCGGCTAAACGTCATGCAGACGGCCCGAAGCAAACGACACGGCCCGGTGGAAGGCCTGAGCATGTGACAGCCCCGCCGTGCCGCCAGAAAGGTTTTTCCCCCGAGCCCTGCCCCCTGAGGTGTCTCATAGCCACAGTCACACTAATGGTAGGGAAATGGCTGAGCTACATCTACTGTGTTGTAGGTACCCTCTGAGTGCTCTTTGTACACCATCAGTGCCATTACCCCTGGCACTTTTTTTTCAGCGAGAGTTCTTCCGAATTGCGGAGCCACCACTGTTTCCCACAGTGTTTGACACCCACAGCTGATAAACGCTGTCTAATCACCCTAGCCACCTCAGTAACCCTAATCACCCCCTAAATTTCAGTATCACTGCCCCGGGTGTGGTCACTTTACCCTCCATTTTCGTGATTAGTGTAAAGGAGAGAGTTTCAGGCTGGAGCGGGGACTAACCACAAAAACCCGCGTGAAACTGCCGCAAACGCCACTCTAGCCCCACAAAAACCAGCTTGATCTATGGAATACTTCTCTGTTTCTTTCGTTGAGCCAGCACCACTGCTTGCTGGGATAAACCATTAACTTTGCGGTTTGTCGGCATCTTGCTGACGTCCTGCTTGCCACCAATTAGGAAAATCGAGGCGGAGTATTTTGCTGCGATATTGAGGGTCGAAAGGACAAAGTGGGGCGCCCCCCCGCGACAACGTGGGACACCGTCGTTCACTGCCAATGACGTCAGCATGAGGAAAAGAAGCCCCACTCATGAAAACGAGAGAATTAACACATTTGCGGTATCATTGCCGATTGGATGGACTACGATAATTTTGCGGTCAGCCACGACGAGACAAATAATTATTCTGTGTCCAATTTTTTTTCTTTGATGTTTTCCGATTGCTGGGGTTACCCTCCTTTTGCGGCCTACCGGCCCAGTTTTAGTAATGGCACTATCTTGTGGTGGGAAAGTGGAGCTTGGTGCTGTGTCTATTGCTGTAAACGGACGACGGTACCCGATTATCTAATCAGAGGCGCTGCGGTTAGCCTCACCTTCGTTGCCTTAGCCTGCTTGCCTCATTAGTCACTCAGCACTAAAGCAATAGTGGTCAAGTCATACTGCCTCGGTGGCTTCGGCCCGACTCGCCGGTAGCGTGAGCCGATCCATCTGGCAACAGCCCCCTCCTCGCAAACACCCCCTGAGGCTTCACCCGCTAAACAGAAAATGTCCCGAAATGTCCTTGTACCACCAGGCATGGATCGCTCGGCTATAGTTGCCGCAGGACACTTGTCGCTAACGCTCGACAATGTCTAAAAAAGAGTAGCGGTACAGTGGCTCGCAACCGCGTGCCGGCAATAGGCTTATTGCCCCCCAAAATTGTGTATTGGAGCACCATCGTCGTAAACGTAAGGTAAACTGATACTAAGCGCCCCGAGGCGTTTGTGGTGCTTCAAAGTGCCGATACGGCGACGGTTGAAACCGATTGTTTGAAGCTTGCTTTCTTTATGCTTTTCTGCATGGGTGATTTGCATTCGTCTTGTGTTTCTAGCTAGCTAGCCGTCGCTGTCGTCTTGCCTGTGTCTAGGGGATAAGAGAGAGATATGCCATTTTTTCGAATGCCCAGTTGTAGACCGGTGCCCCATGGTGGTAAAATCACGCAAAAGAGGAACACAGCTACACCGGGTGTCGAGGGGTAAGGGGGTCAAAGCCAGTTTGAAAACCCCCTTGTCTAATCGTCCTCGTCCTCGGTGGCGTCGTCCTCAATGTCGGTGGCGTCGTCGTCGGCCCGGTCCGGCACCCGGATCGGGGGCAAGCGGGGCGCCGCCAGTTGCACCGGCAGCCCCAGCTCCACCAGCGCCAGCGGGTCCAGCCGCGCCTGTGGCAGCAGCAACAGCATCAACAGAAGCACCGCGTCCTGCTCCAGGTGCTGCTTGTCGTCGAGGGCCGCGTTCAAAGGAGGTAACAGTAACGCCGGGGGAGTGGCGCGGTGGGGCGAGAGCGGGGGGCGGAGTGAGCCCATCGTTGGTGGCGCCTGCGTTGGCGTGGCCATCGGCACCGGGCGCGGCAATCCGTGGCCACTGCGCAACACTTCGTCAAGCGACGTCGTCCGCCGGTGGGAGAACAGGCGTCGTTTGTTAGCGCCCTGGCGTCGTTGGCGCAGAATCGCCGCCAAAAGGGCCTGGTGGGCCAGCAGGTCGTCGTTGACCAGCAAAAACGGCATCAGCGTCAGTTTCGGCATCAGCGAGCCGCTGCCGAATTTGAACAGCAGCGGGGGGCCCTGGTCGGCCAAATTCACGTTGACCACGTTGCCCTGAGGGTGCCACAGCACTCTTTTGGTCTTAGTGGGCAGAGTGTCGCCCCAAGGAGTGCTATCTAAGCTGAAATGCGCCGGCAGCTCCTGGGGCATGCTGTTGAGGGCGCTCGATAGCCGCAGCTTGAGTTTCTGGCTGAGTTCGCTGACGTCTTCGTTGGCGTCGTCGACAAAGAGGCGTCGGGCCAGGTTGATGTAGTGGGGCTGGCGGGGTTTCTTCTGGGGGTCGTGGCGCGGGGTTTCTAGCCCTACCAACGCGTCGTCGTCATCGTCGCCATCTTCAGGCCCTCTTTTGGTGCCAGGAGAGAACGGGAGCAGGACGAGCGGCTTGGTGGGCAGCAGCAACAGCTCCAGCAACGGGCGCGTGTAGCGCCGTCTGTTCGGCGGCGGGCTGTGCGGCGGGGTCAGCGGCTCGTTCATCCGAGGGTGGTCTCTGTTGAGGCGGAAACCGTGGTTTGTAGGGATAAGGAAAACGGTGCCGGCGCAACTAGCCTCGAGGTGGAGAGTTTCGTTCGCGTGGATGGCAACTACGCGGTGGGCGAGCGCACCTCCACCCAAAATCGCGACTCAAACAAACACCGGCAGCAACCCTAGCGCCGAGGGTAGCGTCCATGGCGCCGCGATAAGCGACACGTCATCTAAATATAGAGGTAGCCATCCACCGATTTTGGGTGGTGGTCGTCAAGGAGACGATGTTAGCGAACACGTCGTGATTCACCGCCCCCTTAGGGCTAAGCACTAGAAGCGGCCGCTACCTCCCGGTCGCCACCCAGCCTGAAATTGCGCACCGCATCAGGGTTCGGCAAGGGGGCATTTTCTGATGTAGCCGAAAGGGCGACGGCGCAGAGAACGGGGCCAGAGTGGGAGCTGCTAGGGGTAAAGCTGGGCACGAACCAATGAAATACGAGTTAGTTGGTGACGAGAAACAGAATCGAGGCCTCGGAAATGGCTTCGGAACCCTGGCGGCGATTGGCTGAGCGCGAGCCTCGGGCCGCTCTGTTAGCAACCCTCACCTCACCACAGGCACGGGCGACGTGTCCCTACCAAACATTCCCCAGATAACTGCCAGATCAGACATGAGGGAATGGAGGCAGGATGTGTTGGTCTCAAATAGGTAAAAAACGATGTGTAGTTGGGTGAATATTGCCCCCTCGGGTCTGGCAAGGGCACCCCAACGGTAGTGGTCAGATTTTCTTAGTTGGTAGTTATTGTTGGCAGTTTATATATATACCATCAGGTGATATTTGCCACCATCAGGTGGTTGGTGTCACGAAACGTGTCTGACAATTCCGAAACCACCCATCACCTGCCACCCTCTCTATAATTAGTACCTCCCGCTTCGACGAACAGTCATTCGCTACCGCTCTACATTTTCTTGTCCCGCTGGCCATACCAGGTCAGAAGCGAAACGCCACCTTTAGCCCCCGACGATCGGTGCCCCACCATCGCCGCCCCGTTTGTCCCCATGATCTGTCGCTAATCGGCGCTCGTGTGAGTGTCAGAACGACCACTAGCCTTTTCCTCTGAATGCCGTGTACATTGTTCCACGCGCCCTCCCCTCAAGCCTCACCGGATCAGCCTCGATGCCCCGATCAGATCTGGCAGGCCACATACTACAATATCCAATACGAACTTCACAAAACAGATGAATAAAACCGTGTCGATGAAACGGTGGGGTTTCACCATCACGGCTGGCCGGTTGGGTTACAAAGGCAATCGTCGCCAGAACTCCACTCCCACCTAAGAGCATAAGCAAATTGACCCGCCCTGACGAGTTTCTCACGTCATTGCGGCGACAGCCAACTTTTTTTTGGGGATATTTCTGGTGGCAGCACGCCCGCTCGCCCAATGCGGTTAAGACGCCCCCGTTACTAATGGGACAATTATGACTAAGGCCCCCAAGACCCCAAAGCACTAGCCAGCAGCCCTGGTAGTGATAATTGGTAGTTTTACTGGTGGCTGGTAGCGGTAGACGCACCCGTGCTGTGTGGCCTCTATTGTCACTAAGTGCTTCCCGCGCCTCGTGGGGGTGGTGACCCACCGGGGTTGTCGCTGCAGTGGGGGAACCTGGTGAAATTGTCCGTGCTTATTCCCTATGCGGGCAAACTCCCGACGCTGCACTGATAATTATCAAGGTCACCCTGCCGGAGTTAGCCTGCCGAGAGGAAGCATCGACAGCCCGCACGTTTAGCTCAGCGGGCACCGCGAAGACACAGCGGTTCGCAGGTGCATTTCCGCAGTGCTAGACCTACTCGTCAAGTGCTGCTTGCATAACCCCATGGCGCCCTACCTCGAGAAAACAGCCGCCGTCCACCCCAGCCGGCACCGAAGCCTTCCGCTCCCCCTTTCACCCCCAGATAAGGTTCGAACCAATTAGGTTACACATGCCTCGGAATTAGCCGCGGTGCCGCTGGGGGGTCTCGGGCAAAGGCATCATCCAACCTTAACCGGCACAGACGACACGCCGCTGGCGCCACCAAACATAACCCAGGGTGAAATGAACCTTATAAAGCGCTAACCTGTGGTTTCCACTCTAGGCGCAACCGGTAAGCGCAAATTCAGACACCGGGACATCGTGGTGGGCTTTTCTTTTACCCGTTATCATCGCACCACGTTGTGGTGCCACATTCGTTGAGGCTAAGTCGTCGTTAGGGCTATTGTTTGTTCATCGACTAGATTTTCAGACACATTGTTGGCAACGGCTGCTAATAACACGCCAGCGGCTGTAACCAGCTGCAGACCTAAAATCGAGCCCTCGCAGAGTAATGGTGAGAGCATGCGATAATTACTGTCCCGAAGTGCTATTGATGCCATTGAACCAAGCACTGCCGATGACAAGAGAGGCTTGGGCCCACTGCTACTTACGAACCGATTAACCACCACCAAATCGATAGTGAGCCCCGATTTGTGGTTTCCACGTGGCGGAGCCCCGCACGCACTGAGGTCACCGAGTGGAGGCACTCCGCTATTATTCAACCTGGAGCGTTCGATGCGCTAAGGTGACTGGTTTCCCTCCAGCGAGAAAATGTATGTCGCCCGGAACCAGACCCTTCCCGAGATATTATTTTGACGGCAAAAGCACTCTTGCGCACCCTAAGGTGGGGGGGATGGTGTACTAAGCATGGCACCGCATAATTAAAAAATTGCAGGCTATGCACGTATTTTTGTGGAATTTGGCTCCAGAACGATGGTCACTCTAACCGGGATACATGCCTGAAATTAGGTCGGCGGGTGCAAACGTCATAAAGCGCCAAATTCCTTTTGCCCGCGAACTTCAATTATCACAGGGTACTAGCGGTTTTCCCCTCATTTTTTGTTGTTTCCCCACGACTTGATCCTAATTACCCCATTCACCGCTTTGACACCGTCCTCGTTTACCCCTTGACCCCCGTCACTGGAGCCGACTTTCCCCTGGCTTCCCCATTGCTTTCACCTACCCCTGGCCAATTGTTGTCTATACGTGTACCTGGCGCATGTCACCCGCATCGGGCATATCGCAATTAGTATGGGCTATAGCACACATTAGCCTACGGCAACCGTGCGGGCACACAGTCTAATCGTCCCTGCTGGTGATTGCGCTTTTTCAAACCAACGCCAATCCCACCGTGGTTACCCATTGAAAAACCAAACATCGCCAATTGACAGCTTTTGTCACCATGGCTGGACAACAAGGGGATAACAATGGGCATGTGAGATCTGATGACAGCATGCCGAGCCAGGTGAACGACGCCCACCAAGCATCGATTGCATTACATTGCCTCCCTACCCACCTACACCAAAATACCGTCGGAAAGCTTGTTTTTCCGACCCTGTCCCATATCGGCCGAAGCTAAGCGAGACCAATTGATCCGTAGTGTCCAGGGTTTATCCGCTTTCTGCTTTATCTTCCTCGTACACCGCAAACCTTAATCTCTAATATTAGCCACCCCGTGGGTTGTCGAAATTGCTGCGGTGACTTTTCCGTTGCGAGCGTGCGCCGATGATCCCGAGTGCGACTCATCGCAAGTGGTTACGCGCTCGGAGTCAATCTTTGTCCCCAAAAGCCAACCATGCCCCGACCCCCGCCCACTGCCGAGGAAATCGAAGAGTTTCGCCGCCAGAAACTTGTCGAGGTGATCCCCGAGGGGATGCTGAAAAGCGAGTGGAAAAAACGCAAGCGGCAGCAGCAATGGCAGGACCTGAAGGAGGAGTATCGCCGTGAAAAGCGGGCGAAGAAGAAAGCGGTGGCCGCTAGACAGCGGGAACAAGGGACGAAACCACAACGCAAGTTCCCTCCGAAAACCCAACAGCCGCTGGGGCTCTCATTTGTGTTTGACTGCGCTTTTGACGACCTCATGAACCAACGCGAAGTAGTGCTGATGCTGAACCAGATCGCGAGGGCGTACAACGTCAGACGCCACTGTACATACGAGATGCCGTTGCTGATAGTGCTGTTCGACAAGCGGCTCAAAACACGGTTTGACGACGTCATTCGCGATCACGTCAATTGGAAAGGGATCGAGTTTCGTGAGGAACCGCTTGAAAAAGTCTTCCCCGATACCTCCAAACTTGTGTACTTCTCTGCTGATACCGACGATGTGATTGAAGAGCTCGAAGAAGGCACGACTTATATTATCGGGGGGATTGTCGACAAAAATCGTCACAAGAACCTCTGCATCAACAAAGCCAAAGAACTCGGTATCCGCGTGGGGAGACTACCCATAGACAAGTACATCGCCATCAACGGACGTCTGGTGCTAGCCACCAGTCACGTTTATGAGATCTGCTGTAAGTGGAAAGAATACGGCGACTGGGAACGTGCGTTTAACGAAGTGTTGCCGCCTCGGAAACTTAAAGACAAGTCTGAAGATGATGACCATAATGAGTCTAATACCACTGGAGAAGTTGAGACTACTCACGATGTTGTCTCCGATACCGTGGAAAATAGCGGCGCGAACGAGGAAGAAGGTGCCAAATCCGAGCCTAAAGCCAATTGAGGCGAAAATTTGAAAGCTATTTGTGATGTTTGGGTGTTTACAAGGGGATTTTAGCATATAATAATAATAAATAAGCACTATTGGCGTTTCTAACCAAACTCTCATGATTTTCTATAAAGTGAACGCCAAGTCAGCCAATATAGTCCGCGTGGCCTAATGGTAAGGTATCACTTTCCGGCGGTGGGGATTGCGGGTTCGAGTCCTGCCGTGGACTATACTTTTTTGCTAATCGATACTTGTGCGACCACCCCCAATATTATAAATTCAAAATGCCGTACCGCGGTTAGTTGGGGATAACCTTTAATCATAGCAAGTCGAGTTCTACCTTTAACATCACTTTCCCAACCATCGTCGTCTCAGTTACACCGCCAAACGGTGTCCTACTCAAGCTTTTCGTAATTGATGTCATCTGCCGGTATGGCAGAAATCCGATTCCGGGAGCCAACCTGTAATTTCGGAAAAAGCACAGATACTCCGATTTAGATCTGCCTTAGGCAACCACACAATATCCATGCCCCTTGATCGATGCTGGCGGCGGCGTCATCTAGTTCCATGCAAAGCGATTTTAGGTACGAACGGTTTCCGCTAGGTGCAAAAATCAGGCCACTTTTTTTCTCGGGAAGCGCCGTTCGCAGCGGCGCGACCATTGCGAAGGTGCGAAGGTGCCAGGAGTTCACCACTACAAATGCCCATGCCACAGTGATGTAAACTCACTAACAGCATTGCCAAGGCGGTGAGCTATTCATAGGCGCGTTGTGCATCGCAGTAGCTGTAATGCTATCATGCCGGGCTCGTGCTCGTGCTGGTTGCCAAGTCTTGGACCCTAGCTAACTATAATTGGGGGCGCATCATGCACGCAGCGTTTCCCGCTTTTGCTGATGATAAATCCGATTACCCACGCGCTTAGTCACTAATATACTGCCTTGGCGCACATGGCATCGCCTTGGCATCTCACAGCTCACCAGGCAGTCTCTACATAATTGATGCTAAAGTCCGATTAAGGATGCCTCATCGATGCCGAGCGGGTGTCTCCCGAGTATTATTACAGCACCGTTTGAATCACTCATCAAGCGGTAACGTATCACAACGTGTATTATATATAGCTAGGCGGGAAGCACGCTGCGTGGCCGCTGCGATTGTTCTGCTAATAATGAACAAAGATGTAGTGTAGACGGGAAACGGGCATTCGCTCGGGATTATACTCTCGACATTAAAGGAGGCAAAGGGCAACGCGAGATGAGTGGTTGGGGTTATATTCAATTGTTGGGTAGGGTGGTAGTGTACACTCACCTGATGCTGTGCTGGCTCCTGCTGCCCACCTAGTATTTTTCTTGTAAGTCTTTTGGTGGAGGCCACCAGTTGTGAGCCCTTACCCCTTTCTCAAAAGTCAATTCTCGTCAAACTCAAGCTGTTGCTCAATTAGCCCAAAACAGGAACAGTGCGAAATTCAAACCCCACAGCGATGAACACCAAAAAGCAATGGCGGTCTGCAACGTCGCTTCATCGGCGATCTCACAATTACCCTGCCCACCACCAGGTGACGACAAAAGATGTCACTGGAAACAGAGTGCTCTCCGGTTCTATCACCATCACTTACCGTAACTGTTTTTTCTCTCTGATCACAGCAAGCAATGTTCTCGGACTAGACACTCTATTCCTGAACTCTTAACCACTCGCTAAACCACCTTTTTCCCCCCTTAAGGAGCCATCGGCACATGACGTAGGCTTTTGTCTGAAGCCTCTGATCCTTAGTTCTAGGCTATGGGGGGTCAATTGGGGTAATTACCTCAAGGGGTTTCGTCAGTGGTGCGGGCGGTGATAGTGATGATCTTCACCAACAGCCGCCAGACAGACACTGACACTGCCGGAAATACAACATTCACCGCCCGTTAGGGAATCTAGTGGTGACAGGCTCAACTAACAAGCGGTCAACCCTTCGAGTTAGCGGCTAACCGTGGCTAATTGTGGCTAAGGACACCGGGGGTGGTAGTCGTCGCTAACTGCGCCATTGACGAGGAAAAGCAACACAACCTTAATCGATACGTGCCTTGTGTCAATTAAGCTCGCTACTGCCGGCAGCCGACACCTCCCCGGCTACTAGAATAGGGCATTGCCTCGAGTGTTGTCACCACCCACCTCACCTGCCCGATTGGGAACATGTCTGGGTCGCACCTCGCCCGGCCTGCACCCAGCACCTCGGAAGCCGCTAACACACCCGTGCCGTTTTTGCTCGATCGGGTAATGTGACCTCGTGATGCCAACTTAGGAAATGGACGCCAAATGCCATAGATATAAACCGTTGTCGCCAACGTTTACCACCTCGTCAACCCGTTTCAGCTTCCATCCCTTTCGTTATGAAGTTGCACACCGCCTACGGCATCCTTGTCGCCGTCGCCTGTTGCGCCGCTGAAGGCGGCGCTGCCCCCAACCCGGCCAAGGGCTTAGCCCACTTCTCCCTGTCGTTGGTCACCAGAGAGCAGCTGGACGAAGTGATGAAGCTGTTGAACCAGATTGCCGCTCTCACCAAGCAAAAACGGGACGAGTCCGACGTTGATTTTGCTAAACGCGCCGACACCGACTTGGGCAACTTGATCATTGCCATTCTCAACTCCGGCTGGGTCGGCCAAGTTATCGACACCATCTCCAACGACCCTGAGCTTAAGGGCGTCATCTCCACGATTGCCAAGGGCATCGTCGACGCCGTGGTCGGCAACTTGTGGCCGCTCCTCAAGGCGATCTGGAACTCTGGTCTCATCGGCAAGACGATCAAGACGTTCCTCAACGACTCCCAGGTCACCAGCGCCTTGCTCAAGATCGTTGGCGACGTCGTGAGCTTGATCTTCAAATGGATCGTTGGTCTCTTCACTGGCGGTTCGCTGTCGTCGGGCACTTCTACTGCCTCGACCGCCGCCGCTCCCGCTAACCCTGGTGCCACCACCACCACCGTGCGTGCCGCTCCTCCCGCCGCCACTGGCGCCCCCGCCAACGCCTCCACCTCCACTGGCGGTAACTTCCTCGACGAATTGTTCGGCGGTGGCAACGGTGCTACCACCACCACCAGAACCACCACTCCTCTTGGTACTGCCCAAACTACCGGTACCGGTGGTAACTTCCTCGACGGCCTTTTCGGTGGTGCCGGCTCCGGCGCCGCTACCACCACTACCGCGCAAGGTACTGGCGGTAACTTCCTCGACGGTCTCTTCGGCGGTGGTTCCAGCGCTTCCCACAGCACCCAAAATGCCGCGGCGGCTCCTACCGTCTCCAACAACAACGCCGTGCTCAACAGTCTCTACGGCGCCTACGGCACTGATGGTGGTGTTGCTGTTGCCACTGGCCCCGCCACCGTTGCCGTTTCTGCCGGTGCTGCTGGCGCCCAGTTGCTGGTGGCCGCTCCCGGCATCACCGCTGCTGCCACCGTCGACAACTCCGACCCTCAAGTGAACAACGACCCCGCGGTGTTGCTGTCGCTTGCCGCCGCCTACGGCCAACACAAGCGTGCCGCTGCTCCCGAAGCCGAATATCTCACCGAGCGTGAAGTGCAAGACAACGTCGACGCCGTTGTTGCTCAATTGAAGCAGCTGGGTCTCGTGGAACAATTCCTCAAGAAGTTGACTCTGGACCCCAACCAGGCGCTGGACTTCTTGTCGCAGGTGTTGGCTAAGTCGATCGTGTCGTTGGACGAACTCTACGGGTGGGCCAAGGACAACGGCCTCGTCGACCTGATGTTGCTGCTGTTGCAACTGCTGGGCAACCAGTACGCTCAACTGTTGGGCAACTACTTGCAGAAGAACGGTGGTTCTTTGGAAGGCGCCATCTCGCAATTATCGGCGCAACTTGGTGGTCTGAGCTCGGGGTCGCTGGCTAGCGCCCTGGCTGCTCCTTCGACCGCCCCGACTACCGCTCCCGCTGCTGCCGCTCCTGCTGGCACCACCGCCGCCCCCGCTGCTGCTCCCGCTGCCGCCACCACCGCTCAAGGCGGTGTTGCTGGTGGTGTCAACGCCATCTTCGAGCTGTTGAAGGCGGCGTACGGCAACAAACCCGCGGCGACGACGTTGTACCAGAAGAGAATGTTGTACTAGCTGGCTACCAACATTTATAATACCTAATGTACCATAGAGTAATGAACAATTGATTTGATCCAGTGTAAATAAGTTCTCGCCTGAGATTTGGCTAGTCAAATATCTCCGAACAATTTGAATTTTTGCGATTTTCAAGAAAGTCAAACTGACATTTGAGGCTCAGTCTTCACTCTTTCGTTGAGTAAATGAAGTTCTGTCGCATCATATAAGCTATATTACCATCCTTGTAGGCTACAATCTTCAGTTTGGTGCCTTCTTCGGGTACTCTGAATCCGAAATTCATCAAGCTAAATGATAGATGAGTCTACTCATGAACGGAGCAAGGAACATTGTGCGACGAACTTCTTCAGGTGTTCTAGGTGTTGCTTGTAAGTCTCCCTATCTATTGGCTGATGTTTTCGATTGTCCCTGTTGAAAAAGACGGATTGCAATTATCGTTACTACGCTCCACAGCCGCGTACGTTGCCTAAACTGAGACCACCATGCTCAAATTTCGTCAATTGGGATTTTATTGGATTAAAGTGCTAGTTTTTATTATTACGGTGTCTTGATCAATGCCTGTTGGCTGACCTTTCCATTCTTGGGAAAGCAATATTCTCCTCTAGACTTGCATTCTCACCTAAAATGACGTGAATTGGGAGGAATGATAATCACGCAGAAGCACAGGTGCCCTACAATTGGTCACTTCTTTGGAATATGAAATTACTCTCTTACATGAGTTCTAGTAGATCTCTTCTATAGAGTTAACAACGCGGTTTTATGTTGTATAGTTTGTTCGGCCTTGGAGGAATACCCCGTCGAAGATACTTACACACCGGTATAGGTTTACCGGTAGGTGACCGGGGCATGGGTATTCGCCGGTAGGTTCCGGCGGTGGTGCACTCGGGAGGAGTCCGCGTGAGTATTATATAGAAGCATACGTGATAACTCCGGCAACGGAGTTGTCACGGTGCGGGCAGCTTAAGGTGTTCAACCCTAGGCTGAGCTGAAGTCACCCGCTCGTTGGATGCACGCCCTGCATACACCGTACAGACCCAGCACATACCCGGCGGGGTGTCGAGATTACAACCATATGCATCTAAACACAGTTATCGAAAGGTATCAAGTTTGAAGTAATGTTGGTCTCGACATCCCGCCCTTTTTACGTTTGGCTATTTCGAGTAGTACACGACTTTCACCCAACTTAATACAACATTTTCCATCAAGCGCAAATGGTTTAGTGGTAAAATCCAACGTTGCCATCGTTGGGCCCCCGGTTCGATTCCGGGTTTGCGCATGGTTTTTGCTTCTTCGATGTTCAGTGTTTTTTGTCAGGGAACCACTGATGTGATTCACAAGCTGCTTGAATAATTTCCAGCATATGGCGTGTCGACTGCCAAGTGAGGAATAACCTGCACAGGGTGATCGTATTGGAGATATATGCATTCGCGCTTCATGAGATGATGCACACGTCTCCTCACTACAACCCAAGCTGTATCTAGCTTCCTCCCCAGACTCATTTTGAAGAGCTCGATTATAATAGTATGACTATGACTGATTCAGTAGCCAGTGACATGCCTTAGAATAAGCCTGGTTCGAGACCATTACCCCAAGGCGAGGCCGAAACAATGCAAAACTAACTAGAATCGAGGATCAGATTAGTAAGTTTGCATCTGTTTCTCAGGAGTCAATGCAGCAAGTCCAAAGAGATCTCGAAAATGTCAAAGATGAAATGGCTTCTCTCAAGGAATTATCATCAATTGCCACGACTCCCACATTGATTGAATTGTTAGATGAAAAACAGTCGTACCCAGAATCAAGTCGGATCTACTCGACACCTGCTGAAACGAAGTCTGTGTTTGACAGTGTCAAGAAAGAGAATGGTGAAACCGGTTCTGATGACGATGACGATATCGATCTCCTTCGAAAGAGAGTTGATATTTGGAACACTACATTGAATGGTCGAACGTTTCCTGACTCGGTCGCAAAATGGTACAGTTGGTTGCTTCGTTATAAAGACCAATTCAAGCTTTGGCTCAAAATTGATTATAAGGAAGCCGCCTGGTCTATTTTGAAAAAAGTGCCTACAGCATACGTCCCAGAGTACTCAAAACCGGACAATCGTCGCAAGTGTTTGGAAGATTTGCTTGCCATCTTAAAACTCTCGAGCACAAGCAACGTCTCCAACGCATTCCGCGCTTGAAATTCAGTTACCACACTCTCGACAATCGAACTGAATTCGATAGGTTCAGAGATGACATTATGAAATTGTTTGACGTCTATGAGCTCGATGAACGTCACGAACTCTGCAACGTTTTGGAGGAGGCTTTTAGTAAATACGTTTCAGTGAACGGTATTCTGATTAAGCATAGCGCGAAGAAGTGTATTATAGACTTGAGGTTTTCTCCGTATGGAGATCAAAATGTGTTGCATTCTAAGGAAATCACCAGAAAATGTTTAATCGAATTGATCTAGGAGGCTTACGACGAGGCAAGTGAACTTGAGTCGCAATGATCTTGCTTCGAACATCAGCAACAGTGACAAGTGGCCTAGGGCTGATGTACCTCATTGCAATATGCTCGTTACCACATTACCCTGGAAGATCTGATGTAACGTTATTGAAATTGTGTGCTTGGGGTGTGTGATTGCTTAAGTCCTGATCCGACAATAATATTTCGAAAGTATCAATTGTCCCTTATACGTTGGAACAATTCGAAAGCTAGAAAATGGCATTGATTATTCAAATCTAGAGACTTCACTCAACTATAATGCGAAGTGCAAGTGGAGGACAACATCGTGAACTGGGTATCCATTGCAGTGCTATTGATACTCGTAGACAACCGAGATGGTAATGAATCTCCACCACCTACATCGCTTCGAATTTACGTAATATTAGCTATCGTGTCTATCTATTTGGTGTCGTTGACCTTGTGTTCGTGGGTCTTGGCGTATCTCCCCGAAGGGTCGGCGTGGCACCCCCACTCGGCCTTGGGGATCCATCTCATCACCGTCAGCGCCGCCGCCTTCAGCGGCTTGAACATGTCGTCAAACTTGCATCTGTACCAGTAGGCTTCCTTGGTTTGAGGGATGTCGTCGCCCCATTCGGGCTTGGGGTTGGCGAACTCTTCGTCGGAGACGGCGGCTTCGGCGGCGTCCTTCAACCCGTCGATCCACGAGTAACCGACACCGTCGGAGAATTGTTCCTTTTGTCTCCACAAGATTTCCTTGGGTAAGTAGGGCTTTTCGCCTTCCTCGACGTCGAACGCCTTTCTCAAGATGTACTTTTCGATGTGTTCGTTGTCGATCATCTTGTCTTCGGGGTTGATGTTCATGCACACCTCGAGGAACTTCTTGTCCAAGAAGGGCACTCTCGCTTCCAAACCCCAGGCCATGGTCGACTTGTTGGCACGCAAGCAGTCGGCGTAGTGCAAGTTCTTCACCCGCTTGACACACTCTTCGTGGAATTCCTTAGGCGAAGGGGCGTTGGCGAAGTAGAGGTAACCGCCGAACACTTCGTCGGAACCTTCACCAGACAACACCATCTTGACACCTTGAGCCTTGATCTTACGCAGCAACAAGTACATCGGCGTCAGCGCCCGGATGGTGGTGACGTCAAAGGTTTCCAAGTGCCAGATGACTTCGTTCAACGCGTCCAACCCTTCTTCGAGGGTGAAAGTGTGCGAGTGGTGGACGGTACCGATGAACTCGGCGACCTTCTCGGCGGCGATAAGGTCGGGGGCGTTGGGCAACCCGATGGCGAACGAGTGCAACGAGTTGAATCCCAACGAGTGCAACAGGCCCTTGTCGTCGACCCCGGTCAACGCGGTGTTGGCGACGATGCCTTGCTTTTCCTTGAGGGCCTTTTCGTTGGCCTTGGCGGTCTCACGAGCGGCGATTGACGCAATCAACGACGAGTCCAACCCACCCGACAAAAGCACCCCGTAGGGCACTTCAGCCATCAATCTCTTTCTCACGGCGAGCTCGAGGGTTTCTCTGACCTTGGCGTAGTCGACGTGTTCGGTGGGCACCTTCAGCCCGTCCCACCACGAGGGTTCGAAGTAGCGGGTGATCTGGTCGGTCTTCGAGGTGTAGACGTGGCCAGGAGGGAAGGCGACGATGTCGTCACATTCGTCGATCAAACATTTAAGTTCCGAGGCGAAGTAGCGGGTTTCCGGCAGCTTCAGCGACTTGCCCATGTACAAAGTCGTGATCCCGATGGGGTCACGGGCGGCGACGATGACGTCCTCTTCCTTGTCGTAGAGAGTCCAGGCAAACATCCCGTCGAGGTACTTGGGGGCGTCGATGCCGTACTTTTCGTACAAGGGGATAATGGGCTCACAGTCGGAGAAGGTCTGGAAGCGGTAGCCGTTGAATTGTTCACGCAACTGGATGTGGTTGTAGATTTCCCCGTTGACGGCGAGGGCGTAGCGCCCGTCGTGGGAGCGGATCGGTTGCGACCCCCCGGTCAAGCCGACGATGGCCAATCTTTCGTGGACCAAGATGGTACCGGTGGCGGCGGGCGAAGGCAGGGTGGCTCTCAGCGGGGGCACCAGGGCGTCGGCGTCGCTCTTGCCGTCGACAGAGACATAACGCCCCGACCAGTCGGGCCCTCTGTGGCGCTGGCGACGCAGGTATTGGATGGCCTTGTCCTTTTCGGCGTAGACGTCATGGACCTTGTACAACGCAAGGATCCCACACATGGTTTTTCGGTAATTTTTCAGGTGATGGGATGTGGTGAAAAATATATCGTCGCGCCCGTACTGCACACAGTCATCATCACTATGGATAGTGGCAATCACCGCGGCTACTGTTTCCAGCGACAAATAAAAATTCGTGGGGACAACGATACCGAAAACAACGACGAATGGAGGTACAACTGCGAATGACTGAACCGATAAACTAGTGGTGGTTTTGCTAGGATATCTAGTAGGGTTTTCACGATTGTATTCCTCTTTCTCTCGGACTATATGTCCGCATCTCTCCCCTCATTTGTCATCGTGTGTTGACTCATCGTGAGTCACTCTCCACGATCGGGGGTCGCCGCTGTCGGGCAGTAGAGAGCGACGATCGGACAAACGCCGCGTTCGCACCGGCCCGCCCACATAATGTTTTGCGAGGGCAGTGCCAGGCGAATAACCCCCAAAATACATGCTCTCTGAGCTGAGAAAAATTTCTCAGGCAATGCTCTTTTCAATGAGATGAATATAGCAGCCATTACCATTCACTTTGTGTTATCGTCTGATGGGCTGATGAGGCGATGGTTTACCAATTACTGTCAGTTATCAGTCGCACTCATCCCGCTAATTAATTAGAGCTGTCAGAGAGAGATATGGTACTAGTGGCACTAACCGAGTTCCCCGAGGTCGATGCCGTGTACCCGCTCGTGTTTGTCATCTATGCTGGGCTCATTGGTGGCATTCTCCTAATGGTGGCGGTGCCGCAAGTCCACCAGCTTCTCCTTTATGGCAAGTGCGGCACTAACCGCCTTGATACCAAACAATTCCGCCTTACCAGCTGGTGGAGCCGATTAACGGTTCCCAAACTGAGTTTTACCCATTACTACGTTAGTCTCTTTGGCTATTGTTCAGCTATTTGGTGGACCCAACGATGGTGGCAGCCTCAGACGATCACCCTATACGACCACGATTATTCCGATGGGTTTAGGTGTATCACCATTGTGTTTCGATTAATGTGGTTTCATCTGATACGGAGAGTGCTCGAATGCTTCTTGATCACCAAGTTCTCGCCCACATCACGGATGAACGTGGCCCACTATTTGCTTGGAATGCTCCATTACCTTCTATTGGCAGTGCACACCGCCTGCAGTTTGACGCTGCTACGTCCCTATGCTAACCAAGCTAACATGACCCCAACCACGTCGGAGTACGTGCTCATTGGCTTGTTTGTGCTTGCATCACTCAATCAGTGCTGGTGCCACTGGCACTTGGCGCTGCTTGTCAAGTACTCAATCCCTAAGTTCTGGTACACTACCAGTGCCCACTACACTAATGAGATTGAGCTTTACGTTATCTGGTTTATCCTCGCAGTGAAACTGGCGGTTCCCACGCCCTATATCTGGGCGAACTATGCCATAATTGCAACTTTCGTCACCGTGAATCTTCTGGTGTCGCTGCTCCAGACATACCGTTACTACCGCGAGAAATTCGGTCCTGATCTCGGTCTCCAGTATGCGATTATCCCTGGGTTTTTGTGATTTATGGCACATGGGGTCATTAATAAAATCTGGGAATCCCTCAGCCAGGCATTATCACGTGATGTAGCCACACCTCCTCTATCGTTTAAATATATACCCCTTGTTACACCGTTCAAACCTAACACAAGTCCTACCACTCTTCTACTGACTTCCTAAAAACCGCTCTTTCCCTTGGAATTGTCTAATACGTAGGATTATTGCTGTCTCGGCATTATCACCTTCCCCACTGGGCCCGACCCCGAAACGGACAGTCGCACCGGTTCCTACCGCAGTAACGAGCTTGGCCCGAACCCGTAATTCGAGACGGTATTTCCCTGCCAATTCTCCTCCCCCCACGACCAGTCAGTTGAGCAATGGCAACCAGCGTGCTGCCGGTGGTGGCACTGCTACGCATCAGCGAGCGGCTGCCGGTGTACGGCTGTCCCGGGGTGGCGATGTCGATGCCGAGGATCGAGACCGTGATCGAACTACGCCTGCTGAACTTGCGCCAAGCGTTCAGTGTCCGCAGCGTCCGCTGTGAGCTTAGAACTAAGCAGAAAATGGTGACGCTGCTGAAGCTTGGGTCCCTGAAACTGGAGGCGTTCCACGAAAAGAAGCTCTGCGAGCAGCAGGTGTTTGCCCCGCCCATGGGCCAGAAGGTGGTCAAGAACGTGTTAGGGGTCGACATCCCGCTCATCATGCCTATCCCCAACGACGTGGCGCTGCTGGGACTGTTTTCCAACTGGAACTCGCTGACTATTCACACCTTACACGTCGAGTATACTGTGGGCAGCCGTACCGATACCGAACACCAAACCTACGTCAAGGACTTTCCCCTCGTGATCAAACGCTACGATAATCTTCCAATATACCGTCAGTTCCAGGAACCCAAGACCCACCGACGGGTGCTGGGTAATAAGCAAATTGTGATTAACGTCACTTTACCAGACGCGCTGTGTGTGGGACCGATGGACACGTTTAGCGTCCACGTCAACCTCAAAGCAAATAACTTACACAGCCATCTACGACGTGACGTACGACTAAAACAGCTTACAATTCAGCTCCGGGAAGTGTGTACTTGTCACGAAGCCGGACTCACTCCGAGGCGAGAGATCAAGCTCAGCACCACCAATAAGCAGTTTAATGACTCCGATAATGTGCTTAACACCGTGGGGCTTTCGCATACGTTCAACCTCAAGTTCTCTCGCGTCAATGACTACTTAAGCATATACGACACCCTGGAGCCGCCAATACCGCCGCTAGAGGTGAAGGATACCGACGCCTTGGCACTGATGGTCGATAACTCGTCGCTGGCTCGAGAAAGAGTGCTTGATCGTCCCGATGATGGCGTCCCTTTGACCCATGCCTTTGGCTTTACTACTTCTGAAGGCAAGCTCTTCCGCATCAGCTACGAGATGAACATCAAGCTAAAGCTATCAGGGGCGAAAGACCTTGAAGAACGGTTCCCCCTCACCGTACTGGCCTACGACCGCGCCAGCTCTGAAGCCCTTTTGCCGTGGATAATGCACGAGTGCGAGGTGGCTAAGGCTCGCTTTGGCAAAGAGGTGGTACAGGCGGCGGCCACGGGATCCAGCAAGCTTCTGGAGTTTACCGCCCCGCCAGTGGTGTACTACAACAACATCAATGACTGGCTCAAGATGGGGTACCCGCGGCAGGCGTATCTGAGCGACACCGCGGTGTTGTTGGACATCCCTCATATGTAACGATCACGAATAGGACACTTTCCAAATTGTCAATTATGTATTATGCGATTATAGGTTTGATTTATTACGCCTTCTTCTTCGCCTTCTCCTTGGCGGCGTTCTTCACCATAACGTTACCAATGAACGTCCCCACACCAAGCCCGGCAATGACGAGGAGAAGAAACGGAAGCTTGATGGCGTATTCCCGGGGCAAGAAGAACAGCTGGAGCACCAGGTCGGCGTCGACAAACGGCAACACGAACACCCAGGTGGTGTAGTAGGCAAACACAGTGGCGGCAACCGCGAGCATGGCCAACCCAATCAACTTGTCAAGCTGGGCGTTAGTATTTGATTCGAAAGTATTCTATTCTTTGAGTGAAGCCACCCGGTCAGGCAACGGCGTTGCTATCAGCGCCGAAGCTTGTCACATACCATGATAAACACGTAGCGGTTTTTCGGACGCGCTTGCCAACAACTACGCGCGGCTTCGAAAAATGACGACCGTGGCGAGTGAAACTAGACGGCGGCAAGGAATGGTGATGCTATTGTGGGTTCATGGTAAAATGAAATGCCTTTAGGTCATTTGCTGTATTGGTTAACTTGCTTACTAATTGCAGTCTGTCCAGGGACACCTGTCCATAAGGCATTTATTGTACGGATTCAACTGCTCGGAAGAGATAGTAGAGAGTAAGGGCTGGTTTTCGTGGCCAGTAAGTTTATCGTCTTAGAAGTGGGAACAACAATCTAGTTAGATAGAAGATTATGGTCGGAAGTCTTTGGAGCTCGTCAATAGATAACCCCAATGTCATACTAATCCTAAAGGTTCCACTAGCCATAAACCGTTCACACCACATCCAGGAATGAGTTGAGGCGTATGTTTGACAATTCTGTTCGAATTTTGCGAGTCAAATGAACTGCTACTCCTCATTAGATAGGTGGCCACAGCAAATCATGACGCAGATCAGTATTTGCTGGACTACCTTGTTTCTGTTGAGTGCTATTCGCCTGCCACAAACATCTATCCTAGGGCTTCTGCCATAATACTTCCACGCCATCATTAGTACTACTCCTCGGTTATTGGCGCTGCTGTGTAATCTACCACATAGCTTAAGCAAAATTGTCATATCCCAACGAACACACCCCAAAACCCTCATTTTGTCTACATTACAAACTCAACGTCAAATTTTGTATCTGTTAGGTTTGATCTTTTGTTGTCAATTCCTTTATCGTTTTCAATAAGTTAGTGGCCAACGCTGCTTTCAAAGCGGTTTCTATGAGCTATTGATCAACTGGCGAACTCCTAGGAGTCTTGAAAATGAAATTTGCCCTCGTGACAGAATGTTGGTAATCCTACGAGCCGTCAAGAAGCCGAAACAAACACTATTCACACTCTACCAAGCTACGCAAAGAGGGTAGGTTAAATCTAGACATGCTCAAAGGCTACAACGGTGAGTTAGTTACTTTCTGGGTGCGTGGTACAACTCACCTCGTTGTGTCCTGCATATCATGTAATGCACCTGCATACAGAAATTTTACTTGTGTAATGTGTTACACCTGTCTTACCACTTGTACGAACATCACAGGTCGTTTCTAATGCTCATTAGATGCGATATACTACACTACTATTCAAAGTAGTCCTAAAAAAATTTTGCAATAAAAAAGAAGTTTTTTTTTTTTATGTCAAATCTACCATAGATCCACCAATTTTGAAGCTAACTCTCTGAAAATCACATCGATTATTCTTCTAATGCCAACTATAATTAACAAGCAAACGGATTGATTTTATCGATTTTTCCTGATTTTATAGTTCACTTTATAGATTTTTGGAGAAGAAATTCAAAAAAATCTCGTTCAGTGTCAGGGGTACTATTTGCATAGTAGACATCATAGCTTTGTTATTTACCATTTGTAGAGTGTCATATACGTGATGAAAGTTCGTTGTTGAAAGTAAATCTACTTCATGCAGACGCACCTCATGTGTGCAGGACCATACGCTTCAAGTTAAATATTGTAATGTCGTTCCGCAATGACAAATTCATGAACTAGACAAAGTGGGGTGTGGAATTGGTTGTAAATTTTTATTGTAATTTCCAAGCCTCACACATGATTATCAAGTGAAGTTCATGAATCGTCTATTTTTCCTATTAATCCCATGCAGAAACCCTGGGTTCGAATCTTGGTAGTGCTCCAAATTTACAAAGGCAGTTTGCGTCGTAGTTTGGCAATGGGTTTTCTGGAGCAAGCGGCTGCGTGCCTTGGTTGACACTTCTGGCGGAAATGGTTTTCAAGTGACATAGGTCTTGCACATTTACTGAACACTNTTTAAAAAAAAAAAAAAAAAAAAAAAAAAAAATCAAAAAAAAATTTGAAATTTTTTTTTTCGACAAAATTTGACGAGTCGCGTGCATTATATGCAGAATCGATTTAGTTGACCTATGACCATTATTGTAGTCGTCCAAATATTATAATGAATTTGAAGTATAATGAGTTTGAGTTAAACTTTTAGCTTACAAGGAAGTTCTTGCATTTGAGATGTAATACTGCATACAGGCTTTAGAACACTTTTAAGACACATAAAGTACACCTGACGGCCGGTTGCAACGTACTCACGAATTTCTATCAGCAAAATCTAAATAGAAAACCTAGCTTGCGCAGAAAATTTTCTTCTGATGGTTGACAAATTGCGAACCGATAGCTTTGTATCATAGGTTTACTCCACATTTCGACTTTGTAAACTACAGCTGCAAGATCAATCCTGAATGATCCTTTCATATTAATCGAAACACTATACTATGCATTTTATCCTCTTAAATTTTCACCCTTCACTCTCAAATGTCTCCGTGACTGCGTTGGTACCACGCCAGTTGGATCAGAATGTAGTCCAAAGCCTGCTTGAACGCCCGCTCAAACCCGTGAACGTCCTTAGCGGCAAAGAAGCCTTCAATCTCGTTACGCTTCAGTTCCAGTTGGTAATTGCACAAAGTCAACCGCACAAACCGATCAAGCACCACCATGTTCGTCAGCATGAGCTTGTAGAAGTCGTCGTAATGATCGCGGAAAAAAATCCAGAAATCGTCACGGGTAATGGGGTTAGCGCTCAACGGTTGGCCTAAAAAGTGGGCATCCATGATGGGGATGACCAGGTCATCAATGAGCGAATCCAACAACTTCGGCAAGTATTCAAGATTGGTAATGTGGCCCAAGGCACCCAAAGCAATTTCACGTGAGTCCAACAGTGTCGGCAGCGTCACCTGAGCGAAAATGGCATTAAAGTCAGCTTGCGACAATTCAGGTTGCAGAGCTACCGTCTGCCAAACAAACCCACGCAACGACGGGTCCATCTTACCCAGCAGCTGCCATTGCTTGAAAAGCTGGTGAGCGTAGTCGACCACTTCCTTAACGCCAGCACCACCAGCTCCCGTGAGCACGTTCAGTTGAAGCGACACCTTCAAGTAGTCGGTGGAAGGCAGCGTCGATTGGCCAAGCTCAGTCACCACCAGCTTACCCTTGTCTTGGTAGATTTCTTCCTGCAACTGCTTCAATTTAGCGTCGGTAGCGGGAGTTTGACCGCCGAACGCCACCACGAATTTCGAAAGGACACGGCTAAGTTCAAGCCACACCACGTAGTCGTCGCCAAGCTTAGGCGCCACCCCGCGAAGGAAAGCAATGAACTCGGCCGTGGTCAGCTTGCCAGCGATCGCCATGAACGCGGCATCGGCAATGAGCCCCACCTTGTCGGCGGGGGAGAGGTCGCTGAAGTAGGGCAAGATGTGCTTTTCAAAGATGTCCTGGGCGTATTGCACGCGGTAGAAGCCCAGACAGTTGGTGTTAAGCTTGAACAAGCCTTCAGGAGCAGTGATCTCCGCCGACTCCTCGACAAAGGCGTCGATCTCCACCGGCGTGTTAGCGTTCAACGGGATCCACCATCTAGTTTTGTTTTCCTCGGCGGTAACATCGCCAGAATTGAGGAATCTCAGTTGAGTCAACTTGAGCTTATCGCCGGACTTGGTCACCAGCACTACGGGGAACCCGATTTGCTTGATCCACGGCTTCATCATCTCCTCCACCGGCTTACCCAGGACTTCGCCAATTGCCCCGAAAAGATCCTTGGTGGTCGCGTTGGCGTATTGGTGAGCCTTCAAGTACTTAGACACCCCCAGCAAAAACTTTTCCTTGCCCAAGAACGTCTGCAACATCAACAACACCAGCGACCCCTTCAAGTACGAAATGGCATCGAACACTTGGTCGATGTCAAGGGCGTCGTTTACAGGCACTTCGATAGGGTGAGAGTTGCGCAACCCATCCAAGGTGAGGGCCAGTTGCACCGATTCCAGGACGAAGCCCAGGAAGATGTCCCATTCAGGGAACAAGTGGTCGACGGCAACGTAACCGATGAGAGTGGCAAACGCTTCGTTTTCGTACAACTCGTCCCACCACGCCATCGTCACCAAGTTGCCGAACCACTGGTGAGCCAATTCGTGCGCCACAACGTAGGCGACCTTCTTCTTGTAGGCAGCACTCAGCTTCTGTTCGTTGTACAACAAGGCGGTGGCTCTGTAGGTGACGAGCCCCCAGTTCTCCATGGCGTTGTGCAGGAATGAGTGCACCGCCAACAAGTCGAGCTTGGGCAACGGGTACTTGATGTCGAAGATCTTAGAGAAGAAGTCGACGATCTTCGGGGTGATGCTCAGCGCGAACACCGCGTCCTCAATCAGACCCTTGGTGGTGTAAATGCGACAAGGCAAAGGCTTGTTGTCGACATACAAGTCCTTCGTGTGCAGTTCGATGAAGTCAAACTCGCCAAACGCCCATGCCACCAAGTAGGTCAGCATCACCGGCAGCGTGGCGAACTTAACCACTTTATCGTCGCCTTCCTCAACTTCCAGCACCACCGGCATGTTACCCAACGCGGTGTGGTGCTTAGGCACCTTGATCGACACGTCGAACGTCGCCTTACGCGCCGGCTCATCGAAACAAGGGAACGCTCTCCGCGCGTCAGTAGCCTCGAATTGCGTCGAGTACATGTACTTAGTCTCGCCTTGGTCCTGGTACGAAGACTTGTAGAACCCGGCCATGTTGGTTTGGATACGGCCTTGGTACTTGATCGACACTTGGGCTTTGCCTGGTTCAAACTTCATCGGGAAGTGGGCGACAAAGTACTCTTTAGGCTGATTGTACTCGATGTTCAGCGCCACTACTGCCGTTTGACCTTCAGGGGTGAGTTCGACGGAGTCAATGGTCAAATCCCGGTAGTTCAAGTGGAGTTCATCGGTGGCCTCGTCGATGGCGACGTCGATGGTGGTGACGCCATGGTAGGTGTCGTTGCCAAAATCAATGGCGGTGACGTCGACGACGTAGTGGGAGGGCCTGACAGTGAACGGCAAACACTCGTAGTAGGGCATCGTGATGGGTATATAGGCGATGGAGGTCAGATGCCGTGCAGGGCTAAGGCTCTCGGAGACGGCAATCGCTGTGTGCTTATGTGCAGGTGACGCGTCGCAGCCTACCTCGATCAGGCCATAAACACTACTCTAAATCTAAGCCCCGCGATAAGCAAAGCTTAATCCGCGACAATCAACCATTACCTCGGTCTCTGAAAAATTTAGGGACAATTCGTAGTGTGCACTAGAGCCTGGTTGTTCCAAATCTACAATTGATTTGATATCTCTCTGTTGTCGTGTTACATAAACAAAAAAAGCGTTGGCCCGTAGAACTCAGCGGTGACATTGGTGAACAGCATGCCGTCAAGCATCAGCTTGATTTCGTTCATAAACCCTCGTGGGCCCACTAAGTGGACGTAGTGAGTAGAGTTCTTGAAGTGCTTGATATCATCATAGATGATGCGCCGTTCGTATCCCTCAGAGCCGATCAAGTCCTGGGGCTCCTGTTGGGTGTGGAACTCAGTGACACTGAAGTTAGGGTACTGGTGCTCCCATTGACGTAACTGAGTGACGAACGGACGCACCGCTGACGTCTTATTGCTCCACATCAATTGCACGGCAACCCCTTGTTCCAAAGCCCGTTGCATAATGGGAATCGTAGGAGTGATACCGATGCCGCCAATGACAAACACCCACTTCTTAGCGTACTGAGGAGGGTCTTCGCTGAACACGAATTGACCCCCAGGAGGCGCCACTTGGAGGATATCGCCCTCAGTCAAATTCTGGTGGACATGGCCCAGCACAAGCCCATTAGGTAAATGCTTAACGCTGATGCGGTACATGTTATCGAGAGGGATCCACAGCACCAGGTACTCTCGAGTAATAATCTCGCCGTTGATCATCCACCGGATACACACGTATTGCCCCGGTTGGGGCATCATGATCCGGTGGTTGGGGTCCTCGGGAGTGAAGTAGACCAGTCTCACTGCCGACGACTCCATCACGAGCTTGACCACCTTGAACCGACGGAACCCCGTCCACGGAAGCAAGGCGTTACGCTTGTTTTCCATATCGATGAGAAGCTTGGCCAAGTTAGCGTAGGCGATTGTCCACGCCTCCAAGAATTGAGGGGTAGCCCCTTCCTCCAACATCTCCTCAAAGGCAGCGATAAGCCCTTCCCCAAAGTACTGGTAGTGTTCAGGGACAATTTGAAGACCAATGTGCTTGTTGACAATCTGGTCGATAAAGTCTTGGAGCGGGGTCAAGTCGTCAATGCACTCGGCGTAGCGTAAAAGACAGAACGCCATAATCTTCGGTTGGCGCATCAACTTCTGGTCGGTCTTGTTGAAGAACGTCAGCATCCCCGCATACTTGCGGACCATGATCTTGTAGAACTCATTGGTGATCTGGTCGCCCTCCTGCTTGAGGATGGGCACCAGGTCGCGGATAACCTGCTTCTGGTTCTCAGTGAGAGGCCGAGCAATGAACTGGATGGCCATTAAAAGGAGAAGGGTGTCACTGTAAATATGATACTACAGCACCTTACAGTGTCTATATAGTGAGGGGAATTGGCTGGGCTCGTCTTGTGTTCGGATTTCTGCACCCCCTGCCATTGTGCATCTTCGCTAGGTGATGATCGGCGCTGCACGCTGTACTTGCTCGCGAATGTCTGTCGGTTAGGGAGCGATGGACCTAACAGGAGGAAGGAAGTTTTGACTCAGATTACGAACAGTTAGTCACTAGTTGGGGCCAATTTTTCCAGGTATAGAAAGCTAAAAGTGTACTTATAAATGAGTCTCATACTATGCAACACAACTCTATCCAAGCAGGAATTTCATCTCTTGTGTTTTCGTTATCGTCAATATAGGATTACACGAGAAAATTATTATATCAACCACCTTGCCCTCGTCAGCGACCACGTGATGCCCACAATTAAACTTGAAATTCACAAGTATGGCGTCGTAGAGTCATGTAAACGACGTCCCGCCTTAGCCTCCAAGAACGATGGTGCCACTTTGACGTGACAGTTCTCCCGAAAGTTTGTGTCTTTCAGGAAATGCTGTACCGACGATAAGCTGTGGAAACTCCAGCTTCGGGATCGCTTCCCGGAAAAACCTTATTCTTCGTAAACTCCAGCCATTCAGGTCATCCTGTCAGGTCATGCCTTCAAATTTCAGTCTTGCTAGCTGTTGGCATCTCAACTGACGGGACCCCCCACACTATTTGTGTTTGGTTCTGGCAGCGCTACCATCCACGCCCGTCTAACGGTTGACGGCGCGCCGTATAGTGGTAAGCCTCGATGCCGCCGATTCCCCAAGACGTTGCCCTTCTCTGGGGGCTCGTGTTCCTCCGAATGATGGGGTACGGGCTCACCAACCAGGTGCTCACACTTTTCCTCCATCTGTTAGGCATCGCTGACGTCGCTATTGGTTGGTTCATGACCGCCACCTTAATTGGCGACGCCCTCCTTTCGCTCTGGTTGACGTGGCGAGCCGACCATTGGGGTCGTCGTCGTGTGGTCGCTGGTGGATGTGTGGCTATGGCCATTTCCGGCTTGGTTTTCGCCTCAGCGCTGAGTTTCTGGGTGCTTTTATTAGCAGCTGTGGTCGGGGTTATCTCGCCTCTGGGTGACGAAACCGGCCCGTTTAAGTCAGTGGAAGAAGCGCTGTTGGCTCACTTGACGCTACCCGAACACCGGGCGTTTATCTACGCTATCCATGGCCTTGCCGCTACCGGCGGGGCGGCAGTGGGGTCGCTTGTCGCCGGTATTGTGGTCGACCAGCTTACGCTAGTGTACCAATTTGACGATGTCACGGCTTACCGGGTGGTGTTTGTCATTTACGCCGGTATTGCCGTGGCTAAGCTTTTGTTTTCGTTGCTTCTTTCACCAGCGTGTGAAGTGAAAGTTATGGACGTTCCCGTGGTGGAAACCGAAGATAGCCAGTTGCTTTTGCCTCCCAGTTCTCTGACTGGTCTTTCTGCACGTACTCAGAGACTTTTGGCTCCGCTTTTGGTGGTATTTATGCTTGATTCATTAGGGTATGGCTTGATGCCGTGGGCATGGGTGGTGTACTATTTAAAGAAGACATTTGCCATTTCTGCTACTGGCCTCGGTACGTTGTTCTTTGTCATTAACCTTACCGATGCCATTTCGCTGCTTCCGCTGGCGTGGATCGCCACTAAATTGGGTAGTGTCGCCGCCATTCTTGCTACACAAGTACCACTGGCGATCTTATTTGCCTTGGTATCGGTGGTGCTGCTGTTTGGTGCCCTGGCGATCCTTTTGTTAGGCTACGCCGCTACGCTGACATTGGATGTGGTGCCTCGCCAGATGCTATTATCGGCATTATTCCCTCCACACGAATTAGCGAAAGTAATGGGGGTGGTCAATCTTGGTAAGACCGCCGCTCGCAGTGTGGGACCTCCATTCACCGGTTGGCTTGCTCACCATGGCTGGCTTCATTATGGGTTTGCCATCAACGGGGGGTGCGTGCTCATTGCCGATGCCGTACTCGCCTCGTTTCTGGGCCGCTACTCCCAATCGCAAATCCATTGACAATGCTACGATAAACACTTGAAGATCACTGCTATCACTGCGATGATCACCTACTTATTCAGTATTGGGTGAATGATAGCATACCCTCAATAATCAGAGCTACAGCATTGATTTTGAGGCTCATCGGCCATTAATCGAAACATTGGCGATGTCAATGGTCATTCGCCACCATTTTCATACATAGATCATCAGATTATTATACACGTAAGTTACGTATCGTTTTGTCAGTAGTTTGTTTAGAAGATGGCGTCCAACACACAGCAGGCACACAACGCCGCCAAGCACCCCATCAAGCAGTCGTCGTTGCTCAGGCCCCGCTGCTGTTGCACGTACACCGGCTGCTGCTGCGGGTAGTACCCTTGGGGCGGCGGGCCTTGATAGTAGCCGCCTTGGGGCGGGCCCTGCTGGTAGTAGCCGCCCTGGTGGCCGCCGCTAAACATCCCCCGGTCCTGTTGCTGGTAGTTCATGTGGGCTTGTTGTGGTTGTTGCTGGTTCCACTCGGGCGGGGGTCCTGTGGGAGCCTTGTAGTCCATTGTCTTTACTTAATGATCGAGGAGGTTTTCGGACCACACCAATGCCTTTGTGTTGTGCACAAAAGCCGGCGAGCGCGCGGGCTCGAAATTGCGAACTGTCATTTGACAAAATCAAAGTGCGAAGACACCAAACTTAATGGTCATGTGCCACACGCAACGTCCCTGGCAGCATGGCGTCATCTGATTAACCTTATGGCTAAGCTCTATTTCGGTTGGCCTACTTAAAACAATTTTTTTTTTTTTTTTCTATTGAGTGTTTTTCGATGGCACACCCTCAAAGCCTCGATTTCCGCCAAGTGCTGGGAGTCGTGACCACGGGGCGGAGCTTTTTCCCTCCTGGGGAGTACCTGATCTGATCTACACGTATAGTGATCTCACCACCTAAATATATGCACAGATCCATCACCACCATTCCCACTCCCAATACTAAGGATACGATACAATTCCTCGCTCTGCTCCCGACCGGAGAGCGCGAAGTTCATTAGCCTGGGTGCTTGCTACTAACTCCGAAAGGCGAAGAGAGCAATACCAAGCGGTGATGAGGAGTACTAGGAGCGGGTTTATACTACACAAACTACCAAATCAAATTAGTCTCAGCCTTCGCTGAAAATTTAATACCGGATTTTGGGTGTCTTCGGGTATTTTGTCGAACAATAACCTAGGTTAGTGGTTTGTGTCCCGCCTTTACGGCGCTATCGCCGTCGCCGGTACCGGCTTCACAAATTTTTGCGTCGCGTCCCAAGTGGCGGGGAACCTTGCCTTCTGTGTTAGCGGCTGTAGCAAAAGGAGAAGCTAGTGGCTTCCGCAGAATAGCCCCACTATGGCATAAACCCGATGGCAAATACGAAGTGTCTCGGATAGCTTCTCGGAACGCGCTGCCATATAACTCCGTAATTTCCTATTTCAGAGCATATGTGGTTGGTGTTCCCTGTGATCGTATCTCATTTTGGTTGTGTGCCCTGCGCCATGTAACTATACTTTAAACAATCGGGGAAAAATCACCGTCCCCGAACTTAAACGGGTAGCACAATTATCGAAACAATGGGCTTGCTATTGTGGGGAAACCCTCTAACCCCTGAGCCGGTAGCCAGCTCTCTCGTCTCGAAGCTCCCCCATCTCCACGGGTTACTCCTTCCCCTCCGTCTGATGACTCACGGCTGAGGTTACTCATCCCCACAGGCGCTCTCCGGTGGCCGTGCATGGCCGGACCGGCCACTTCAGCCGGACGTGGAGCAACACCGGCGGTGTCAGGCCTCAAAACTATAAAATAGCCGCCGCCCCATCTTCTAATTACTAAAAAGAAAAACCAAGACATTCTCTACTACTCCCATGAGCGATATCGAAAAGTACGAGTCGCCCAAGCACGTCGACGTGTCGGCGGAGGACTTATTCAGCCAGCGGTCCCACCAGCAGTTCGCTGACGTCGCCGACAACGAGGCCCGCGTCGCCCAGCTCGCCCAGGAAATGGGCATCAACACCCGCAAACTCATGTGGAAGATCGACTTGTGGGTGGTGCCTCCGTTTTGTTTGCTTTACTTCCTTTCGTTTTTGGACCGGGTGAACATTTCCAACGCCAAATTGTATGGTATGGTTGATGATTTGCATTTAAAGGGGAACGAATACAACACCGCGTTGACGCTTTTCTTTGTCCCTTACATCGTGTTTGAAATCTTGCTGAACTACGTCATCAAGAAGATCCGCCCCCGCTACTGGTTGGCAGGGCTGATCTTCATCTTTGGTGTCATTTCCATCGGTATGGGTTTTGTGACCAACTTCGGTGGTCTCGCCGCCTGTCGGTTCTTGCTCGGTATGTCTGAAGCGCTGACGTTCCCCGCCATCTTTTACGTGTTGCTGACATACTACTCCAAATACGAAGCTCAACAACGTTTTTCGGCATTCTTCAGTGTCACTACCCTCGCAGGTGCTGCCTCTGGTTCCATTGCCTGGAGAATCAAAGACCTCGATGGCAGATACGGCATCGCTGCCTGGCAATGGATCTTCATCATCGAAGGTACTTTCACCGCTGGGTTGGCGTTTGTGCTCCTTTTCCTTATCCCCGACTTCCCTGAAGAACTGCGGTTCCTCAACGCTAACGAAGTCGAGTTCTTAAAGAGAAAGCTTGAGATCATCAACGGATCGCTGTCCGCCCACGAAATCAAATTCAAGATCAAGGACGTGTTCAACGTGCTCAAGGACTACATGATCTGGTTGCCCACTTTGGGTTACTTTGCCTGTATTGTCCCTGCCTACGCCATCGCCTTTTTCCTCGCCCAAATCGTCAAGGATCTTGGCTACACTGCCGTCGCCGCTCAGGCTCACTCGGTGTACCCGTGGCTCTGTGCCTTTGGGTTATGTAACATCGTCGCCTTCCTTTCCGACCGCACCAGATGGAGATACCCGTTCTTCTTGGCTACCGGGTGTATCGCCATTGCTGGTCTCGGCATGGTGCTTGGCCTGACCGACGCCAACGTCCGTTACGCCGGTACCTTCTTGACGTGTATGGGGTTGTACACCGCCATGCCCACGCTCATTTGCTGGCAAACGTTATCGTTCGGCTCCCACATCCGTAAATCGGTGGGGCTGGCGTGTATCATTGGTTTCGGGAACATTGGTGGTATCATCTCCACCTTCTTGTTTTTGCAGAAAGACGCTCCTCAGTTCACCACGGGGCTCGGGGTGTGTATCGCGATGATGGCGTTGTCGCTTATCGTGGGCACGGCGATCCTCATCTCGTTCTGGTGGCAGAATAAGCGCAAGCAGACCCCCGAGTACCAAAACTACTTCTACAGTCTCCCCGAACGGGAACAGAAGATGTTGGGCGACCGCGCTCCGACCTTCAAGTACATGTACTAACACACCAGTACGCTAATTTACGACGATTACGGCAAATAAGACTCTAATACACTATAAGCATAGCTCCACTGTAGTCAACAACCAGAAAATATCTTTTAATAGTTTGTTTGATCAAACTGTGCTGCCAGTGGGAGCAGCCCCTGGGTATGCCCTGCCGCGCATTAGGATATTATGACCTTATCACTATATAGGGAAATTCCCTTGTCGACCGTCAATGATGATCTGATACCACCGACTTGCCAAACACAAGAAATACCCCGTTCTACTATCGATTGGCCGTTGGAAATCGTGGCTATCATGCTCGATTTCCTCCCGCAACACCGCGTCTACCCCTTCCTCTCACTATCCAAAGGAGTCAACCATATTGCAAAGCAACGGTTACTTCGACAAGTATACGTGCTCGATCGAGACAGGAAGCCGCTTCTACATGATGCGGTGGATGAGTTGATCCACTGGCTGTTCCTTACAAAGTCACAATTCCTCGACTTAATGGAGACCAAATCCGAGTGGCCCGGAAAGCTAGTTTTCCTCGAATACTTTACTGAAGAGGAACCTATCGATGATGACCACAAAGCTATAAAGGAAAGAATACAGCCTGCCGAATTCGTCGTTGTGGAATCAAAAGAACACTCAGTGTTTATGCCAAATGAGGTCAAACGAATGTATATGTCCACTCCGTTGGATTCCCCTCACCTTGCTCAAGCCACGATAGCTGGACGCCGTGAGCTTAGCCCTACGCTAACTAAGATCAGAGTCGATAGTCTACAGCTAGTTGACGATGTACAAGGTATAGATGGATGCATCGATCTATCATCCGTGAAGCAATTGTCTCTTGTGCACATACAATCCTACGATATGCCACAACAGGTGGCATCTCAATTTGCTAGATTGGAAGACTTATTTGTTGCCTCGATTAAGACTATACCTCTTGATGTCCAATACTTCCCCCAAACGGTGAAACGATTAGTTATACAGGGTCTTGATGCACGTTTCCAAAACTCATTGATAAAAGTTGGGTATCGGTTCAAGCTGCTGCTTGAGTATCTCGAGCTTTGCGACGGGACAGCTTCACAGAACTGGCCTCGACTGATTACGTTAAACTGTCATGGTAACACTCCGATCCCCTACGACACGTTCAACTTTGACAAACTCAGAATGTACGTGTGTTTTGGTGAGGTTTATCACATTGAACAACATCTGGGTAAGCAGCCAGCCTTTGGACGTATAAACAACTATGGCTGAATGATTTCCTAGTTATTTTGACAACAATGCATTCGAGACCCCTGTCCAATGTGAAGGAGTGCCGAGTTTACTGGGCAGCAAGACCATCGTTGTACTAAACATTCAAGTAGTCTGTACTTTGTTGATGATGGGATGATGTGTACAGTTAATCGTCTAAGCTCAATATTGATCAAAGTTGATAGGGTGTCTTACACGGAAGAAATGCGGCTTTACACCTTATCAATACTTCTAGCTTATTCAACTCAATCAGATTGAGACGACAAGCCGTTTAGCTGCTGCTCGTCAAGTTGAGGGACGCGTCCCTATACACGTGAAGGACATTCAGAAATAAGTAAAAGTGGGTCAGAACTGTCTGTGGCTCAGACAGTAAAGGGGTTTTTTGTGGTTGATCAAACTGTGTATAACACAAACACGTAATTAATCTATGGGATTTCGAAATGTCGTAGAAGCTTATCGTTATTATTCGTGACTCATTAAATATGTAGGTGTATATGCAAAATGGGGATGGCGGTAGCCGTGTCTAGCAAAGGAACGCCGTTATCTTCTTGTAAAATGGCAACGCCTTGCGACGAGCAAGCTCCTCTTCCTTCTCTTGGCGCAACATGTCGACGTCGACCTCCTTGCGGCCAGTGTCGATATCGATTTGCGACACGGGGATGAGGAGGTTCCACCCCTTGTAGAAGAAGAAGTAGTGGCCGAGGAAGAACGCCAACACGATCGGCGCCGCCAAGTACTGTTCGAAGAAGTACTGGGCGTCTGGCTGCTTGCCGATGGGCCACACCGAGATCCAGAATTGGAAGCACAACACCACGATGTTACAGAGCAAACCGTACACCGCGCCCCAGAAGCCAGTGTTGGCGACGTAAGGGAGCTCATCGGTGGTACGGCCTTGGTGGTAAAGCGCGCGACGGAACTGGATGTGGGCGCCACAGATCGAGCCCCAAGTGAACAACGTCAGCAACCCGGAAAGGGCCATCAACCACGCGAACACTTCCCCTTGCTTAGGCGAAGCGGCGACAAACGAAATGAGACCGATAATGGCACACACGGCGATCCCCACCAAAGGGCGACCCTTGCGGTCGACGTAGAGGAAGATCTTGGGGGCCAATTCTTCCTTGGCCAAACCCAACATCGTCCGCGAGAACCCGTAGACGGCGGAGTTACCGATGGACAAAAGCGCGATGAGAATGACGGCGTTGAACACCGAGTCGAGCCCTTTAACACCAGCGTCGTTGATAGCGATGACGAAGGGCGACGCCGAGTTGTCGGAGGTACCGTTCATCAACTTGGGCAGGTTCTTAGGGACGATGAAGCCGATCAAGATAAGCGTCAACATGTAAAAGATGACGATACGCCAGAACACCTGCTTGATGGCTTTAGGAAGCACGATCCGGGGGTTTTCCTTGGATTCAGACGCGGTTAAACCGATAAGTTCAGTACCGGCGAGCGAGTAAGTGGCAGTGACCAACACCGACACCACCCCTTTGAAACCACCGGTGAACGAACCCGGGTTGTGCCAGTACTTAGCCCCGATGTAACCTTGCTTACCGCCACCAGCGATCATGACAATGGCGAAGATATCCCAACCGACAACGCCCAAAAGCTTAATCACCGAGGCGACGAATTCCGTTTCGGCGAACCCTTTTTGGCCACAGAGGTTAAGCCCGATGATCACCACGTAGAAGATGGCGACCCAGGCATCATTATTGATATCCAGTGGCCAGAAGTTGATTGTCATCAGCGCCGCCACTAATTCCACGGGTAACACCACCACCCAGAAAAGGGCGTAGTTCCACCCCATAGCAAAACCCCACGACGGGTGGATGAACCGCGCCGAGTACACGGCGAACGAACCGTCGACAGGCAACACGGCGGACATCTCCGCCAACGATTGCATGGTACAGTATAAGAACGTCAGCACCACCGTCCAGGCGATGACCACCGACGCCGGGCCGTAAGTGAGCGCTTTACCCAGCGCCACCAAGAGACCCGAACCCACACACCCCCCGAGGGCGATCATTTGCAATTGGCGCTTCTTCATCCCCTTCTTCAATTCGTTACCGCCATCGCCCTTCAACACGGAGTCGGGGTCGGCGCGTTTCCACGAGTCTTTAAAATTCTGCCATTTCAGGCCGCCGGTGCTGGTTTCGCTGTATGGCAGCTGTTGCGAGTACACCGGCTCGTCCAGCCACGAGGACTTGGTTTCGACGGCTTCTTTGGCGTCGGACATAATTTTTGACAGGCACAGGTAGGGAGGATGGCAGAGGGAAGCCGGGCGTCGCTGGCCTTATATTGTCGGCGACGTCATGCCTGAGGGTGCTGTACTTCGAGTGCAGGCGAAACGCCGTGCGCGATGGCCCTGTAGCGGCTGCATCGTTGGTGACAAAGCGACGGCGATGGCGTGGGGAGGTGAGAAAAAGAAATGGGGGAGGGCGCTAACGGTCAGAAGATAGCGAATACGAGATGATCCCGATAAGCCTCAACTAGCACTAGAGGGTTGGCGGTGATAACTCAGAGTAAACCCAACAATTTAGCGGGGTAAGTGACGCCGTCACCGGGCAGTTGCCTGGTGTCTAAGCTTTTCCTGAGAGCAACGTTCCGGCCCGGTACTCTGCGGGCGCCGCGCGAATTGGCTGGGTGCGCCTGCAACTGGGGCCTGTCTCGGTATCGGCAACGCGAGATCAGAGGAGACCAGAGCTGAGCAGAGGGGAACGAGAAAAAGCAACGGGACATTTCTATTTCAAAATCGCTTAGAATACTTGGCTAATTTCTTTCTATGTGTCTCGGTTAGTAGCTTGCTGACTCTGGGCGCGTTGGTGAGTCACGTCGGGGGTTCACTCCCCCCATGACTCAAGCCGGCACCGGACATGGAAGGGTCACTCGATGAGTGCGAACCCGGCGCTGGGGCGTCGGCCACGGAGCGAGTGGGGATATCGAGACAATGGCGTGGGGTAACAAGGGGGAGAAGCGGGACAGCGATCGTCGGCTACCGGTGGCAACTGATGGAGCAAACCACCACGGTATTAGCCACGGAGCCCGATGAGGGGAGCTACCATTGGATTGTGGGGAAATGTTTACGATTAGCTATTGTGTTATGGGGTAGCAAAAGACGATACTAATTAGCGAAGGCAATAGGAGTGGTAGCAGGCGACTAGCAGGCGTCGTAGCATACAGCAGTCAAGCTATAATAAACGCCTTAGGCTTACTGCATGCCCGCTGCTATCACTCTCCTTTCCTCGAGTTTCATCAGGACCTGCGGCAGCAGCTTATCAATGCATCAAACGTGGAGACACACACCCCACACATTAATTAAATCTACCATCGGTATTACCATTTCTGCCACTGCTACTACCACCACCAGTGCCTCGCTAGCTCTAACCCAATGTTCACGCGAGGGTCGCCGAACATACAAATCACGCAGACAGTCACAAGCCTCACGCACGATTACACCCCACACTAGCGGCGCCTTCGGAATTAAGGGTTTCGCGGAGACCACCAGATTCACAACCACTGACTCAATGACGTCGTACAAGTTTGGTAGCACTACTGACCCGGAAAAGGCAGCGCAGATCTACGGGCTCTGTGCGCTGGAGTGGGGGTGTGGCCTCAACGCTAAGCAATTCGGCAGCGTTGAGCGCCAGCGGTTTGAGGAGAACCACGCCCACCACCGCTACAACGTCGGCTACTACTACGAGGACAACGAGACCGGCGAGGTGGTGGCGCTGACGTTTGTGCTGAGCATCCCCGGTTTTTTTAAGCACGTGGACACGTCGTCGACGGCGATACCGCTGCTGTTGCTGATTGGCGTCCAGCCAATGACAGCGTTATTGGTGGGCCATGTGTTCACTGCTAAGTCGGTGAGAGGCCAAGGGTTAGCCTCAAAATTAGTGGCGAACGCCATTGCCGCTACCGAAGATGACTGCTTGCGCCGTGAGCTTGACAAGGACCCGGAATTTGCCCGTACCGTTAGAGGTGACGACGGCAGGATTGACCACGACGTCGCCAACCATTATTTGGCCAAGAAATACGTGTGGTATTTAAACTCTGCCGTTGGTGGCTACTATGAGCGGTTTGGATTCAAAGGGTACCCTGTGGATGCGTTCATGATCCCGTTCTCGCTTGTTGGCCAAGAGGAAGAGGAGATGCTCGTTAAAGCCATGGAGCTGGGAGAAAAGATGCGTGACCGCCTGATCAAGATCCTCAAAGCCGGCGACGAAGCCGACCTGGCCCTCATCCGCTATATCTTGCAAAACAAAGAATTGCAGATCGTCGCTGACCTCAACAAGACCAACTACCACCCGCAGTTGAGCCAGCGGCGCCGGTCGCTGAACCTGCTTACCCAGATCCAGCTGGCGGCCCGTTTCCAGAACCCAGCGATGGCAGCCATGGCCAATGGCGTTGAACCGGAAAAGCCTCACCGAGTAGCGTTCATCCCCGACTATACCTTCTTACACGGGATGCACATCATCGAGCAGGCGGAGCTGAGCTTCTTGTGGGGGGGTGATCAAGCAAAGTACCACCAGATCGTCGGCGCCATCATCACCAACCACGCTACCGGCCAGCTGCACTACGTGCTCTGGGCGACTCAGAAGTACCACAAGTTCGTCGTGTTGCTGGTAGGGCGTATCGACTACCACCCCAACCCCGGTGAATCGGTGAGACACCGCCGCCCGCTGATGGTGGCGCTGATGGCGGAGCTGGACATTCTGCACAACTATAGCGACCTTGAGTTGGTGATGCGGGTAGCGTGTATTGTCGGCAAGCGGAGATTGCCGCAACAGCCTGGGTTATACATCTGTGCTCCCGACTTGCCGTTAGAGATGCCCGAAGCGGCGACCCTCGACTTTGTCACCAATTACATCGCCCACCAAGTGCCCAAGGACTCCGAGAACCAGGTCAAATTGTACTCTGGCGACGAGTTTGCCAAGCAGATGCTTCCCATGTTGAAGAAGTTTGGCAGCAACAACCCTGCCGACGTCGACTTCGACTGGGTGTACCCCAGTAGACTCAACTGGGGCTAAGCGGAAGCAGTTTTGTATATCTCAATAACGTAAACGACATCAAAAAAGACGTCAAACAATTAGAATACTCCTTATTCTTTCTACTATTGCTGTATCCCTTAGTTTCTCATTACTAACGAACAATTGCCCGATTTTCTCAATCATCCGCGAGGGTCCCTGCATAACTCCGCCGCTCCGATATTGACAGAATACACTTAGTCTAGCTTGGAGATTTCCCATGGCTATGCACTGATTATCGTGCATAACGGTTTTCATTCGGGTTACGGCGATTTTCCACCTCCTGCCTACAATAGCAGGAGACATCATGTAATGCGTGGGGAGACAGCGGAACCGGACATCGTTGATGCCGAGCGAGTGCGTCGAGCTCCGGTTATCGGGCCCAGGCCTTC